ATTTTCCCGTGCTGCTTTTAATATGTTTTCTTTGTATTTAATTTTTGACAGTTTGATTAGTATGTGTCTTGGCGTGTTTCTCCTTGGATTTATCCTGTATGGGACTCTCTGTGCTTCCTGGACTTCACTATTTCCTTTCCCATATTAGGGAAGTTTTCAACTATAATGTCTTCAAATATTTTCTCAGTCCCTTTCTTTTTCTCTTTTGCTTCTGGAACCCCTATAATTCGAATGTTGGTGTGTTTAATGTCCCAGAGGTCTCTGAGACTGCCCTCAGTTCTTTTCATTCTTTTTTCTTTATTCTGCTCTGCAGTAGTTATTTCCACTATTTTATCTTCCAGGTCACTTATCCGTTCTTCTGCCTCAGTTATTCTGCTATTGATCCCATCTAGAGTATTGTTTTGTTTTGTTTTGTTTTGTTGTTTGCTTTGTTTTGTTGTTTTGCGGTACGCGGGCCTCTCACTGTTGTGGCATCTCCCGTTGCGGAGCACAGGCTCTGGACACGCAGGCTCAGCGGCCATGGCTCACGGGCCTAGCCGCTCCGCAGCATGTGGGATCTTCCTGGACCGGGGCACGAACCCGTGTCCCCTGCATCGGCAGGCGGACTCTCAACCAATGCGCCACCAGGGAAGCCCCATCTAGAGTATTTTTAAATTCATCTATTGTGTTGTTCATCATTGCTTGTTTTATCTTTAGTTCTTCTAGGTCCTTGTTAAATGTTTCTTGCATTTTGTCTATTCTATTTCCAAGATTTTGGATCATCTTTGCTATCATTATTCTGAATTCTTTTTCAGGTAGACTGCCTATTTCCTCTTCATTTGTTAGGTCAGGTTGGTTTTTATCTTGCTCCTTCATCTGCTGTGTGTTTTTCTGTCTTCTCATTTTGCTTATCTTACTGTGTTTGGGGTCTGTTTTTTGCAGGCTGCAGGTTCGTAGTTTCCGTTGCTTTTGGTGTCTTTCCCCAGTGGCTAAAGTTGGTTCGGTGGGTTGTGTGGGCTTCCTGGTAGAGGGGACTAGTGCCTGTGTTCTGGTGGATGAGGCTGGATCTTGTCTTTCTGGTGGGCAGGTACACGTGTGGTGGTGTGTTTTGGGGTGTCTGTGGACTTATGATTTTAGACAGCCTCTCTGCTAATGGGTGGGGTTGTGTTCCTGTCTTGCTATTTGTTTGGCATAGGGTGTCCAGTACTGTAGCTAGCTGGTCGTTGAGTGAAGCTGGGTGCTGGTGTTGAGATGGAGATCTCTGGGAGATTTTCACCGTTTGATATTATGTGGAGCTGGGAGGTCTCTTGTGGACCAGTGTCCTGAAGTTGGCTCTCCCATCTCAGAGGCACAGCACTGACTCCTGGCTGTACCACCAAGAGCCTTTCATCTACACGGCTCAGAATAAAAGGGAGAAAAAGAAGAGAGAGAGAGAGAGAGGGAGAAAGGAAGGAAAGAAATAAAAGAAACGAAGGTAAGATAAAATAAAATTATTAAAATAAAAAATAATTATTAAAAAAAAACGGACAGATAGAACCCTAGGACAAATGGTGAAGGCAAAGCTATACAGACAAAATCTCACACAGAGGCATACACATCCACACTCACAAAACGAGGAAAAGGGGAAAAAATAATAAATCTTGCTCTCAAAGTCCACCTCCTTAATTTGGGATGAGTCGTTGTCTATTCAGGTATTCCACAGATGCAGGGTACATCAAGTTGATTGTGTAGCTTTAATCCGCTGCTTCTGAGGCTGCTAGGAGAGATTTCCCTTTCTCTTCTTTGTTCTCACAGCTCCTGGGGCTCATCTTTGGACCAGAGGGCATCTGTTCTTCCCTCAGACAGGACGGGGTTAAAGGAGCCGCTGTTTCGGGGGTTCTGGCTCACCCAGGCCTGGGGGAGGGAGGGGTACAGAGTGCGGGGCCAGCCTGTGGCGGCAGAGGCCCGGCGGGACGTTGCACCAGCCTGAGGCGCGCCATGCGTTCTCCCGGGTAAGTTGTCCCTGGATCCCGGGACCCTGGCAGTGGCGGGCTGCACAGGCTCCCCGGAAGTGGGGTGTGGATAGTGACCTGTGCTCGCACACAGGATTCTTGGTGGCGGCAGCAGCAGCCTTAGCGTCTCGTGCCCGTCTCTGTTGTCCGTGCTTTTAGCCGCCGCTTGCGCCTGTCTCTGGAGCTCCTTTAAGCAGCGCTCTTAATCCCCTCTCCTCACGCACCAGGAAACAAAGAGGGAAGAAAAAGTCTCTTGCCTCTTCGGCAGGTCCAGACTTTTCCGCGGACTCCCTCCCGGCTAGCCCTGGTGCAGTAACCCCCTGCAGTCTGTGTTCATGCCGCCAACCCCAGTTCTCTCCCTGCGCTCTGACCAAAGCCAGAGCCTCAGCTCCCAGTCCCGCCCGCCCCGGTGGGTGAGCAGACAAGCCTCTCGGGCTGGTGAGTGCCGGTCGGCATCGATCCTCTGTGCAGGAATCTCTCTGCTTTGCCCTCCGCACCCCTGTGGCTGTGCTCTCCTCCACGGCTCCGAAGCTTCCCCCTTTCGCCACCCTTTGTCTCCGCCCGCGAAGGGGCTCCTAGTGTGTGGAAACCTTTCCTCCTTCACGGCTCCCTCCCACTGGCGCAGGTCCCGTCCCTATCCTTTTGTCTCTGTTTATTCTTTTTTCTTTTGCCCTACCCAGGTACGTGGCGGGTTTCTTGCCTTTTGGGAGGTCTGAGGTCTTCTGCCAGCGTTCAGTAGGTGTTCTGTAGGAGTTGTTCCACGTGTAGATGTATTTTTGGTGTGTCTGTGAGGAGGAAGGTGATCTCCGTGTCTTACTCTTCCACCATCTTCCCCTCTGGCCGCCCACAATTTATTTTTGATGAACTCTCTGAGAGAATTAAGTTGTATGTATTTTACCCTTACTATTTCAGTTTCTGTTTTCTAAAAACAAGGGTTTTCTCATCTGTAATCACACTTAGGTTATCAAATTCAGGAAATTTTACATTGATACAGTACTTTAACCTATTACACACTTTTGTCTGTTATCTCAACTATCTCAAGTCTTTTTTAGACTCCACCTCCCCCCAGCAGAGGATTTAGTCTGGGATCACATACTGTTATTAGTTGTCATGTCTCTTTAATCTGGAACAGTTCCTTAGCTGTCCTTTGTCTTTCATGACAGCAACATATTTTAAGAATATAGGCCATGGGCTTCCCTGGTGGCACAGTGATTGAGAACCAGTCTGTCAATGCAGGGGACACGGGTTCGATCCCTGGTCTGGGAGGATCCCACATGCTGTGGAGCAGCTAGGCCTGTGCACCACAACTAGTGAGCCTGCGCTCTAGAGCCCGCGAGTCACAGCTGTTGAGCCTGCATGCCACAACTACTGAAGCCTGCACGCCTAGAGCCCGTGCTCCACAACAAGAGAAGCACTGCAATGAGAAGCCTGCGCACCGCAGTGAAGAGTAGCCCCCGCTCGCTGCAGCTAGAGAAAGCCCGCATGCAGCAACGAAGACCCAACACAGCCAAAAATGAATGAATAAAATAAATAAATTTAAAATAAATAAATAAAATAGTGCTAGAAATTTTAAAAAAAAAGGATATAGGCCAGTTATTTTATACAGTGTTCCCCAGTTTGGAGTTATCTGACATTTTCTCATTGTTAGATTTAGGTGATGCATCTCTGGCGAGAATTCTACATAAATGATGATGTGTCCTTTCTCAGGCTATCACATTCAGAAGCATGATGTGTCTGACCTTACTTGTCATTAGTAATATTGGTTTTGATCACCTGGCTAGGGTGTTGTCCAGTTTCTTCATTGTATAGTCACTGTTTCCCCCTTTACAACTAATAAACAAACTGTGGGGAGATACTTGAATACTTGAATATCTTAGTCTTTATTTATTCTCTTTATCTAGCTATCATCAATATGGACTGATGGACTTTTACTTTATCCAGTGGGTTATAATCCATTACAACCCTTATTTTTTGTTGTTGGTATTTGTATTTAATTTTTTTAAAAGTTTTACAGAATTTTAAAAGGTTACTTTTCCATTTACAGTTATAACAAAATATTGACTATATTTCTTGTGTTGTATAATACATCCTTGAGTTTATCTTACACCCAGTAGTTTGTACCTCCCCCTCTCCCACTCCTATATTGCCTCCCCTCCTCCCACTGGTAACCACTGGTTTGCTTCTCTCTGTGAGTCTGCTTCTTTTTTGTCATATTCACTAGTTTGTTGTACTTTTTTAAGATTCCACAAAAAAGTGGTATCATACAGTATTTGTCCTCTGTCTGACTTATTTCACTTAGCATAATGCCCTCCAAGTCATGTTGCTGCACATGGCAAAATTTTGTTCTTTTTTATGGCTGAGTGGTATTCCATTTGTGTGTGTGTGGGGCTATATACATATACCATATCCTCTTTATCCATTCATTTACAACCTTTATGTTTTTGATGTTCATATTGTCCCAGGTTCTGACAGTGGGAGTCCCTTCATCCTGGCTCTGATGTCCTTTGGGTGTGGCCCTATCATTTTCTGACACAGTGATGTTCCAGGCTCATGTTGGACCTTTTGTGCCCCATCTATGGGGCAGAATCAGTCATGATTTTAAGGAGGCCAGGTTTCTCTTAGTGGAGAAACAATATATAGAAACCAAGATCTGGGCATTAGATATTCTCATTAGTACTGGTGTCATTGTTTCCAGTCCCTTCCAGTGAACATAGTTAGGAACTATATTTTTAAAAAAATAATTTTAGTTTATACTAACACCCTCAATTCTCATCCAACCCCACAGGATTTTTTTTTTTTTTTTGCTTTTCCACATTCCATGTTCTAATTTATTAAGTTTTAAAAATTGAAGTATAATATGTATATATATGTAAACATATATATAAAGTGAAGTGTGCAGATCTTATGTATACAGTTCAGTCAGTTTTGGAAAATGCATACACCTTTGTAATCCATACCCCTATCAAGATACTGATTATAATTTTTCAAAACTTTTCTCATTGTGGATAATATTGATTTGTTTACTTTTAGATACTTGATCCTTGAATGTGCCCATTCACAAATTCATTTGCACTTCAGTTGAACAGCCATAAGCCAAAGTAAGTTTACTGGTATTGCACCAACGAAGCAGACAAACAAAAAAAGGGTCTTCTGTATTCTGTGGGTTAATGCAGATACAATTATTTCTCACTAGTCATTTGCATTTTATTTTGTTAGAATTGGGCTGAAAAAATGTTGATGTTTCTTCAAGGATTGTATCACTACATTTTTCTAATTGCAAATTGTGATGGTAAAGAAAGCAAAGTGTGTATTTCCTTATGAGTGGGTGAAGTACATTGTAGTTCCTGGAGTTTGGCCAGGTTTTTCTTGAACCCTTCTGTCAGTTGGTGGTACTGTCCACAGAAATTTATAATTTGCAACAGCAGTCTTTTATTAACTAGTGGAATAGGAATGAACAGAATTGATGAGTTTTATTTTTTATTTATTTATTTTTGGCTGCATTGGGTCTTCGTTGCTGCACGCGGGCTCTCTCTTGCTGCAGTGAGCGGGGGCTACTCTTTGTTGCGGTGCGCAGACTTCTCATTGTGGTGGTTTCTCTTGTTGTGGAGCACGGGCTCTAGGTGCATGGGCTTCACTAGTTGTGGCTCGCGGGCTCTAGAACACAGGCTTAGTAGTTGTGGCTCACGGGCTTAGTTACTCTGTGGCATGTGGGATCTTCCCAGACCAGAGCTCAAACCCGTGTCCCCTGCATTGGCAGGCAGATTTTAACCACTGTGTCACCAGGGAAGTCCCGATGAGTTTTATTTTAAAAGGATATTTCTAGAGTGGAGAATTCGTTCGGCTCTTTGAGTTAATTTTACAGTTGACTCTGTAAAGCCAGATCAGGAAGATTTTGCAGGACTGGAGATGTTACCCAAAAGATAAAAAGAAAATTGGCAAAAAATTAGTAATTATGGTAGAAAGAACAGTAGTTAATAAAAAGCCAGGTTTTGCTAGTACTTACATTGTGTTAATAACAGTATAAACCTGACAAGTTTTATATATATATGTGAGAAATATTTGGTTGTTAGTACTAGCAAACTCGTCCAGTTTGTTCTGAAGTTGAGGTATACATTCTGGAATGTATTACATCAACCCTAAAATATATATCTGTGTAATTCCTAGGCACTGATGTACTGTTATTTTGTGTACCATTAAGAAAGAAAATAAATGATACCTATCAAACAGTGATGTGATATTAATCTTAAGACGTATCTTGATTTTACAGTTGTTAAAATGTGAAAAGATCCATTAAGAAAGAAAAATGATGCCTATTAAACAATGATATTATATCAATTTTAAGACACATTCTGATTTCACAGTTGTTAAAATGTTTAAAATGTGTTGATGAATTATATTAATCAATGAATAATAGTCCACTGTCTGGATATACCACAGCTTATTTATGCATTTACCTACTGAAGGACATCTTGATTGCTTCCAAGTTTTGACAGTTATGAATAAAGTTCTTTTAAACATCTTTGTGCAGGTTTTTGTGTGGACACAAGTTTTCAACTCATTTGGGATGCCAAGTAGCAGGATTTCTGGATCGTATGCTAATAGTATGTTTAGTTTTTGTAAGAAACTGCCAGACTCTTCCAGTGGGGCTATGTCATTTTGCATTACCATCAGTAATGAATGAGGGTCCCTTTGCTCTGTATTCTTATCAGCATTTTATGTTGTCAGTGCTTTAGATTTTGACCATTTTAATAAATGTGTGGTAACATTTACCTGATGGTTGTTTTAATTTATAATTCCTTAGTGACATATGATGTTGGCTGGGATTGTATTGCCTTAATAGATAATAGGGAAGAACAGATATCTTGACAGTATTGAGTCTTCCTATTCATTAACATGGACTGTCCATTTATTTAGTTCTTTGACTTTTTTCATTAGTTTTGTAATTTTCCTCATATAGATCTTATATGTATTTTATTAGATTTATACCTAAGTATTTCATTTTGGGGGTGCTGATGTAAATGATATGTCTTTAATTTCAAATTCCACAAGTGTATTACTGGCATATAGGAGAGCAATTGACTTTTGTATATTAACCTTGTATCTTGCAACTTTGCTGTAATTGATTATTAATTCTAGGAGTTTTTTTGTCATTGATTCATGTAGATTTTCTATATAGATGATCACATCATCTGTGAACGGAGACAGTTCTTTCTTTCCAATCTTTATACCATTTATTTCTTTCTCTTGTCTTATTCCATTAGCTTGGATTTCCAGTGTGATTTGAAAAGGAGTGGTAAGAAGGGATATGTTGCCTTGTTCCTGATCTTAGTGGGAAAGCTTTGAGTGTCTCACTATTAAATGTGATGTTAGCTATAGGTTTTTGGTAGGTGTTCTTCTTCAAATTGAGGAAATTCCCCTCTATCCCTAGTTTGCTGAGATTTTTCTTTTAATCGTGAATGAGTGTAAAATAGTCTCAAATGCTTTTTCTGCATCTAATGATAGCATCTTGTGGCTTTTCTTCTTTAGTCTTCTGATGTGATGGATTGAATTAGTTGATTTCTTGAATGTTGAACCAGCCTTGCGTACCTGGATTAAATGCCAGTTGGTCATGGTATAAATTCTTTTTATACATTGTTGGATTTGATGTGCTAATATTCTTTTTCTTTTTTTGGCCACACTGCACAGTTTGCAGGATCTTAGTTCCCCAACCAGGGATTGAACCTGTGCCCCAGCAGTGAGTGCACTGAGTCCTAACCACTGGACCACCAGGGAATTCCTGATGTGCTAATATTCTGTTCAGGATTTTTGTATATATGTTTATGAGAGATTGGTCTCTAGTTTTCTTGTGATGTCTTTATCTGGTTTTGGTATTAGGGTAATGCTGGCCTCGTAGAATGAGTTAGGAAGTATTCCCTTTGTTTCTATCTTCTGAATAAGATTATAGAGAATTGTTATAATTGTTATAATATCTTCTTAAGTGTTTGCTAGAATTCACTAGAGAACCCATCTGGGCTTGTGCTTTCTGGTTTGGAAGATCATTAATTATGATTCAATTTCTCTAAAAATGTAGACCTATTTGGATAGTCTGTTTATTCATGTGTGAGTTTTAGCAAATTGTATCTTTCAAGGAATAGGGCCATTTCATCTAAGTTATCTAATTTGTTGGCATAGAGCTCATGGTATTCCTTGATTAACCTTTTAATGACCATGGGATCTGTAGTGGTGTCTCCGCTTTCATTTCTGATATTAGTAATTTGTGTCATTTTTCTTTTTTATCAATTTTATTTATCTTTTCAAAGAATCTTTGCAAAGAACCTTTTCAAAGAACCTTTGGTTTCATTGTTTTTTCTCTATTGATTTCCTGTTTTCAGTTGTATTATTCTCTGCTCTGATTTTTATTACTTTTCATCTGCTCTTCTTGGATTTAATTTGCCCTTCTTTTCCTAGTTTCTTTAGATGGCACCTTACGTTATTGATTTTAGATCTCTCTTCTTTTCTAATACATGCATTGAATGCTGTAAATTTCCCTCTAAGCACTGCTTTCACTGCATCCCATCGATTCTGAAAATTTATGCTTTCATTTTCATTTAGTTCAAATTATTCTTAAATGTCTCTTGAAAATTCTTCTTTGGCCCATTTCCTTTAGAAGTGCATTGTTTAAGTATTTTGAGATTTTTCAACTATCTTTCTATTTTTGATTCTAGTTTAATTCTGTGATGGTCTGAGAGGAGATATTGTATGATTTCTATTGTTTTAAATTTGTTAGGGTATATTTTATATACCACCGTAAGGTATATTTTATATACCACCATAATGTGGTCTGTCTTGATGAATAGTCCATGTAATGGTACAGAATTCTAGGTTGGTTTTTTTTTTTTCTCTTGACACTTTAAATATTTCATTGCACTCTCTTCTTGCTTGCATGGTTTCTGAAGAGAAGTCAGATGTAATTCTTATCTTTGCCCCTCTATAGGTAAGGTGTTTTTTCCCTCTATTTTCTTTCAAGATTTTTTCTTAATCTTTTACTTTCTGTAGTTTGAAAATGATCTATATAGGTGTAGTATTTTGGTCATTTAACCTGCTTGGTGTTCTCTGAACTTCCTGGATGTGTGGTTTGGTGTCTAACATTAATTTGGAGAAATTTTCAGTGTTTCAAGTATGTTTCCTGTTCCTTTCTCTTTTTCTTTTTCTTCTCCTTTTTGTATTACTTCTCCTTCTCATTATGCATATGTTACATCTTTTCTACTTGTTCCACAGTTCTTTGATATTCTGTTCTTTTTTGGTGTTTTTTTGGTTTGCTTTTCAATTTTGGAGATTTTCCCTGACATATCCTCAAGCTCCGAAGGTCTTTCCTCAGCCGTGTGTAGTAGTCTACTAAGAAGTTCATCAAAGGCACTTTGAAAACAGGCTTAAAAATCTTTATAAGAAACAGTTATACCCTAGGATCTAGGGCTTATATCATCTTCTAACACTTGTCCTCACAGCCAGGTGCCTGCCTGTGGTAATGACTTGTTAGTGCTCTTCCACATTCAGTTCTCCTTTCATTCCAGGCATATGGGAACATTTAATTCCTTTGTTTCCTTGAAGTTAGGTGGTATCATGTGACTGATTCTGGCCAGTGGACTTTGAGGGGAGGTGTGTGTTATTTCTGTGTTGACATAGTCAAAAGTCCATGAAGAGTTGCTGGTCTTTTTCTTTATCTGGAAGTACCTAGCCATATGTTTCATTTGATACAAGAACAAGATAGTCAGCCTGGGTCCTTGGATGACTGTGAAACAGATCCTGCTTGTTATGTTGGGCATTTTACATGGGACAGAAGTAGACTTTTGTTGTGTTGAGCCACTGAAATCTTGGAGTTATTCAGTGGCTACTGAGCACTTAACATGTGGCTAGCCCCGACTGAGATGTGCTTTAATTGTAATGTACATACCAGGTTTGGAAGTTTTAACTATGAAGAAAGAAAAGAAAATATCTTATTAATAATTTTTATATTTATTATATTGAAATAACATTTTGGATCCATTGGGTGAAACAAAATCTATTAATTTCAGCTTTTTCTCTAGTTTTTTTTATGGGGACACTAGAAAATTTTAAATTA